ATGTGCCAGTTCCAACCTCTGCTAGGTACAAAACAGGGGGCGCCCCTACCCCCCGGAATATACAACATGTTACACAGATACAATATGTACACTGGGGAAGGGGGGCCAGCCCAGCAGCCCGTGCCCTCGCCTGGTCCACAGTTAGCGCCACTGTCCTGCCTCAGCTGCCGCTCTGAATAAGAAGATGGGAGCCCCCTGAGGGAAAAGTTGCTTTGGTGAGAGGAAGGAGGCCATCAGACCTCCTCCAAACCAACCCACTCCAGCAGCCTCTGGCTCTTAAATAACAAACATCATCACCCAGAGATTTAAGGACTCAGCCCTGCTCAAGGTGGCAAAGGGTCTGTTGGTCTCCCCCCATTAGACAGGGCTCTTGTCTTGCTACGCTAATAATAAAGGGGTGACTGGGAAGGGGTTGGAGGGACATGGTGGGGGCGGAGACTCCAGCCCCACTTCTCCAGGACTTGCTGACAGGGGCATGCTTTTATTTATTTTTATATTTATCCCTATGATGTTTTTTAAAAACCTCGTAATTTCCTTTTCATAAATTTCATACTTCTCATAAAATTTTTCTACTTTTTATCCACAATGTTTTCTTGCCACAACTTTTCCACATTTTTTGTCCCATAACTTTTTTGCTTTTTTTTTTTTTTTTTTTTTGAGACGGAGTTTCGCTCTTGTTACCCAGGCTGGAGTGCAATGGCGCGATCTCGGCTCACCGCAACCTCCGCCTCCTGGGTTCAGGCAATTCTCCTGCCTCAGCCTCCTGAGTAGCTGGGATTACAGGCACGCGCCACCATGCCCAGCTGATTTTTTGTACTTTTAGTAGAGACGGGGTTTCACCATGTTGACCAGGATGGTCTTGATCTCTTGACCTCGTGATCCACCCGCCTCGGCCTCCCAAAGTGCTGGGATTACAGGCGTGAGCCACCGCGCCCGGCCCCATAACTTTTTTATCCCATAACTTTTATTAGTTTGTGTTCTTTTAATGAAAACACTTGCATAGCTATATTACCATTTCGTAAAAATAAAAACACGTTATCTCATGCCAAGTGTGCCCAGCATTTGCAGAGTCTCCATGTCTTTAATACTATAGTTGTTAAGATGCACAAAATTTTAAGGCAAACACAGAGCTTTGCAGCAATTCCATAATTTATTACATTACAGGAGCATCACAGCAGCAGTCAATAATGCCGCTTTACACAAAAGGCTCAGCATTTCCATCTTACGTTCTGTTCCCAAGAGTTCATACGTTGGTAAAAATCATTCTTAGGAAACTTGGTAACTAAAGCTTTGGACTGGAATTGGCATTTCTTTCTCTACTTTTCCTTCCCCTGGTTTCTTTTAAACTATGACATTCATATTTTAAAATGTTTAAGTAATTTCAAAACATTAAGATAGCAGTTACATGTTTTAATAGTTATCTTGAAAATGACTCTTAAGATAAAGTTT